GGGGCGCCTGGGTGGCTCAGTCGGTTAAGCGTCTGCCTTCAGCTCAGGTCGTGATCCCGGGGTCCTGGGATCGAGCCCCGCATCGGGCTCCCTGCTCATTGGGGAGCCTGCTTCTCCCTCTCCCACTCCCCCGGCTTGTGTTCCCTCTCTTGCTGTCTCTCTCTGTCAAATAAATAAATAAAATCTTTAAAAAAATAAATAAAGAAGCTGTTAATTTTTTATACCTGTACTCAATATCCCAGATATCCAAATACTTAAAATCAAATGAGAAAAATAAATAAAGTAATATTTTGAGAATAATTTCATTAGCCCATGTGCTTGAGCTGATACAAACATTTAAAACCTAGGATGTGGGAAGAGGCAACCTGATACACCATACTAAGCAGTGGCCTGTCCTTCTTTAAGAATAGATTAAACAATCATAAAAAGAGCTAACTTAAAAATTGAAAAATGCTTAAATATTAAAAGAAATTCTCATAGAAAATATTAATAAAAAAAGAGGACTGAAACATTTATTTATTACACAGGGTGCATACATAAAACAACATATCCTTTAATTCACTTGTAGCTGTCCTCTGTACCAATCTACCTCTTTCCCTTCACAATAAATTTTCAAAATAAGTTATTAGATCCATGTCCTAACCTGCCATACACTTATCAATCAACTGCAATCTAACTTCCACTCATCCTGAAAGTGCTGCAATAAGTCATCAACGATCTCCTAGTTGCTCAAGCAAATGAGCCGCTATCGGTCCTTCCCCTAGTTGATCTCACTAAAACATCAGGAACAGTGTTTTACAGATGCCACATTCACTGTCTCCGTAGAACCATTCTTTCCCGATTCTCATTCGATCCTTCAGAAATCTCCTTCACCATAACCTTCAGTAGCTTTTATTTCCCTGCCCACCCCAACCATGCTATAATCTCAGGGTTCTGCATCTAACCTTGTTTATTTCCATCTTACATGCATTCCCTCTGGACAATCCAAAGTGCTAATAAAACAACTATCCATTTTTCAAATAACAAGGAGCTTTGGTTACCAAATCTACATTTCCAACCCAAATTGCTCTCTCAGCCTCCAACCCCATTACAAATACAAATTGAAAAGCCCTACTTACTTACAATTCAACGTGTCCAAAACTAAATTCATTAGATTGTCCCTAAAACATGCTCCAATTCAGGCTAAATAAAGCAGAGGCATTGCTGAAGCCAGTTTCTTATGCAGGCAGTCGAGACAACCAATGAAGGAGGCCTTATCACTGCTAAAATCTGGCTGACACAAGAGACACAGGATGTTAGGCACAGAAGTTTAGTTTCTTGCCACTGGGACTGTCTCCAGCTGGAAACACCATTAACTGGAACTCAAAGTAGATAGACAGTTCAAACTCACAGTGATGGGGCTGACGGTCAGGGTGACAGTGAGAGAGAGGATAGGAGACAAAGCTCAACCCTATAAACCTCTTTAGGAAGAGTAACAGGTGCTATCTACCACACAGAATAACAAGGCGTGGTGCTCATAGAGCACCTGGTTCAGGGGACATGATGACAGGAGCTTGTGGTTATGGTACTTGCGCCAATGAGAAGAGAGAGACTGTGTCTTGATCAATTTCAGAGTGCTGAAACTGACACAGAAACATTAGTAAGCATGTTACTAAGTTTCCTGACAAGCAAATGCCTCTTTCCTCCTCAGAAGGAATAAAACTGTAGGAAATACAAATTTTTCCCTTTTACTTTTTCCTAATGCTAAAATATTTCGGCAAGAATCCAGAACCATTCTCTCAGCATCATTCTTGATTCCAAATACTAGAGAAACAAAGACTTGTCCCCATAAAGATAGAGATAAGACATAAGACATGTAAGATTTAGAAGCCTAAAGGAAGACCAATCAAATGTCCTCCTGCAAAAGAAACTTACCATATATATATAAAAGGGAAACTTCTAAATAACAACTTTAATTTGCGTTTCCAATGTCATTCAAGGGGATATTTCAGATATAAAATGGAAATGAACCTGTGATCATAAAAATGTGCTTACAAATGAAAAACATGATTACCAAATTTTAAAATCATAATGGAAGAAGAGAATAGCAGATTAAATATAGTATAAAATCAAATCAGTGAATTAGAAAACTAGTTCAAGAAATATTCAGATAACAAAGGAAAAAATAAGGGGATGATTATAATAAATGAAAACGCAAGAGATAAGGTAGAAAGATTCATAATCTCTAACATCGAAATAATATGAATTCCAAAAGAAGTAAATAAAACAGAAATGGGGGAAATAATAATTAAGAAATAGTAGTGACAGTGCCAGTCAAGACTGCATCAGAGAAGAGCTTAAAAGAGTAACTTATGATGCCACTTTTAGCTAGAACAAATGCAATGCCATGAAAAGGATGGAAACTGAAGGTCTGCCAGGCTCTGGTTCCAGAAACAACTAGAGACAGCAGGAAGTGTGACTCTGGAGAAGTAATAGGGAATCAGAGTTCCCCAAAGTAGAGGAACAAAGTCAAACTCACCAAAAATCCAGAGGTGGGGATGGATATCCTTGCTCTTGAGAGGAAGCTGAAAATCAGTGTGGTGATCACGTCTGAAAGCTATGGCTTATAAAAAACTGTATGCTTAGGAAAGGCAAAGGACACAGATATAGCCTCAAAAACCAAGGAATCAGACTAGCTTCATGTGAAAGGGACAGAATTCAAAATGAAAAGAGACATTTGATTCTCCAAATTCCTACAAACAGGAGGCAGGCTGGGAAACTACTCAGCTTAAAGCAAATCATTCCTTATAATTAAAAAAAAAAAAAAAGATAATTCAGAGGGAAAAGCCAAAAGCCTGAAGGGCAGAAGAGCAAAGAGCTGGGAAGGAACACTAAACCCTTATCAAGAAATAGGCAACAAATGCCTGGCTAGATTTCAGAACTGCTACAGAATTGTCATCACTATGTGTCTCTTGCTCTCCCTGGTTTGTGAATGGGAGTTCTCCAGACCCTCTACCACGTGTTGGCTGTATGGCTGGCGGTGGGGGGTATAACTTGTTCCTTTAGTTCATAGGTGTTTACATTGGAAGCCACACCAAGGAAGCCTCAACTACATCTGGATATGATTTTTATTAAGTTTTTTTTAAGATTTTGTCAGAGAGAGAGAGAGAGCACAAACAGGGGGAGCAGCAAGCAGAGGGAGAAGCAGGCTCCCCACTGAGCAAGAGCCCGATGCAGGTCTCGATCCCAGGACCCTGAGATCATGACCTACGCCAAAGGCAGATGCTTAACCAACTGAGCTACCCAGGAGTACCTGATTTTTATTAAGTTTATTGAGGTATAATTTATGTACAAATAAATGGTATCCATTTAAAATGCAGTTTGATGAGTTTTGACAAATACCTGTATAACCACCACAATAAAGACACAGATTCTTTCCATCGCACCCGAAAGTTCCCTTGAGCTCCTTTGTTATCAATCTCCTGCAAACCCAGACAACCTCCATTTAGTAGAATCTTGTGTATATGGAATCAAACAGTATTACATGTTTATGTCTGGCTTATCTCACTGAGGAAAATGTTTTTGAGATTCAGCCAGATTGTTACATGTATCAAAAGTTCATTTCTTGAGGCACCTGAGTGGCTCAGTCGATTAAACATCCAACTCTCGGTTTCAGCTCAGGTCATGACCTCATGGGTTGTGAGATGGAGCCCCTTCTGGGGCTCCGTACTCAGCGGGGAATCTTCTTGAAAGATACTCTCCCTCTGCCCCTCCTTCCACTCATTCACGTGCTCTGTCGCTCTCTCCC